TTTATAACTGAATATAAGCTCATTTACGTCCTTAGATGCAGGTCAACTACTACACACCGTGGAAAAAGAGAAAGGTTCTTCCGACTAAATACATTGTGGAAAGAATTTCTAAGCGAAAGATCAAAAATGTAAGTATAATTGTGTTTAAAGTTAATATTTTTATTTTCAGTCATGTAGTCTTTTCATTTTGTGGTCATATTAAATGTCATTGTAGTGCGTTTATACTATTAAATTACTTTATAATACTATAATAGACAAAGGTTCTTAGCTCAAAACGTCAAAGTTCTCATTAGCTATATTTCTCATTGGACTATCTTCATCAATGAAGCATCTTTGTAAAGAATCTACCCAGACAAGCACCCCATGTGTTTACTCCTCTATATTACTGTTATTTTCAAATTAGGAATACGAGTGTTTAAGGTAATTCCGCAGTTTTGCATTGCGTACTTTTACTGCACACATCTTATAACTTATAATTTCATCCATTATACGTACCGCGTTTAAAAAAAAATCACTTTATGACAATTTTATGTTACTTCAAAACATCTTTGGTTAAATTCGTGCAAAGAATTACGTTAAAATAAAGGTTTTCAAAAAAAGGCATACAAAAGTGTAGCTAGGGGGGTTCTCCGTGTCTGTAGTATATTTATTTACTTGTATTTCACATTTTAATGCCACAATTCCCTAAAAAGATCGGTGACCCCCGTTTTTTAACTGATAATTTATTTCTTTAATGCATTTTACATTTCATATCCGAAATTAAAAGAAAATTCATTTCTGGATCTTGAAAAAAAATCCTTTATCAATGCATGTTCTCAAAGAAAGATATGTAAAGAAATGTGGAAAAGACATTTGTGGATCAGAAATGTACACGTTAGTAGTTTCATTTTGCTCAAAACACAATATTTTTTCAAAAATAATTACAAGATAGGTTTACTAAAGCAAAATCCGCGCTAAAAACGTCAATAAATGTCGGGCTGTTGTGATTTTGCTGTTGCTCGTAATGAGCGTCAAGATGGCGCCACATTGAAGTAAAGGTGGTATATTGTGATTGTCATATCTTCTTAACGAGTTCGGTGACCCCGACTTTTTTGTGTGATTTTACTTTAAGTATATCATAAACTCCATGCCTGGGAAGTTTCAGCACATTCTCATTTCGGGAACAATTACTGCAGAATTACCTTAAGGTTCAAAACTTTTAGTTTGGTTGTTGAATGAATCTATAAACTTGCATATCGATTTTGAGCTTAACCACCGTTTAAGCTGATTTCAAAATATTCACTCATTCCACTTTACCTGAAGTTATGATGGTTGAGCTATACGTGTCCACACAAGTGTACTCGGTATAAATGTCTTTTGAAATATCAGAACAATATTGTGATGGCAATAAATTATTGTCAATAGTCATTTCACAGGATCTGTTTCCACCACAAAGAGATTTCACCTGACAATTGGTTAACTTGCTGCACGTTGTATCAATATTTTGATCGTCATTAAAGACACCATTCTTATTAAAGTCTCCATAATCTGCACTCTTCACCACCATCTTTTGTTTTGAAGAACAATGAACATCTTTCATTTCAGCATTGTAGGCTGTCACTGAACCTAAAATAGAGTTAACAAACTTAGGCTACTAGATAGATAGATATTTAAGAAACACTTTACACTGGCTATATACAACTGAATTGCATACATATTCATCATACTAAAAATGGAAACAAGTTAAGTATATTACACTATAATTACGGGAACCACTCATTTTAAGTAAATACAAAATAACAGCAACTGCGAATAACATTTTGATTTAATCGGTGTTACTGTTATTGTGTATTTTTTCAGCCTACCTACAATCAGTGACAAAATACGTGCATGGACCGGTTAGGCTGAGACTGTAACATAATCCCCATCTCCCCCCCGTACAATGTTGTTGGACTAAAATCAGCGGACAATTTAGTCAGTAGTTTTGTGTTGTATAGCGTCGCTGGTAACTCTACCAGCACACACATGAGCAACAATGAAACGGAGGATGGTTTTGCATGTTATTTTGCACAATCTTCTATAAGTGCCCCACCTTTCAACATCACTGATTCAATCAGTGACAAAATACGTGGACCGGTTAGCGTTAGTCTGTAACATAATCCTCCTCCCCCGTTCAATGTTGGTTTGACTAAAATTGACACTTTATTTGAAGTAGTTTTGTGTTTTATTGCGTTGCTGATAACTCTCCCAGCACAGCAACATTTAAATGGGGAGGCCAGCTGGGGGGAAGGGGGGGGGGTGTTTGCATGTTATTTTGCCGTATACAAAAATAACCTTCCAATCTAAGTGTCCCCATGCATCTTTCAATGTCACTTCTTGTAATTTAAAATATAAATCTTCCTATATGTTACTTTTTACTACTAGTCTTACCATAACCAATAGTCCTAAAAACCTGGTGATCTAACTAATAAGTCCTCCTCTATTTTGTCTTTTGATAATATTGTACAGTGATACCTTACACATTTCACTTACCGAAAGTAAACTTTTGATTTTCAGTGTCACAAGTCGCATTCCTCAATACATATTTTGTTGAAGGTTCAGCACATACGTTCTGACTCGAGTCGTAAAAGAATAAAGATTCAGAATCTGTTTGTTTTAAACGGTGTCCAGCATTGTTTTGAAATTGTATTCCAGTTGCTGCTACGCCTTTATACACGGACCAACGCCCGAGAAAGAGTGAATGGGTGGAAGATATCAGCGTTCCCTCCTTCTCGATATTGTGTAACAGTTCGCTATCAAGATAACGAAACTGTGCACTGACATTCAAGCAATTGTCAGTCATTAGAACAAAGTAAGAAAACGCCAAATTTGGATCATTGTACGCGAGCTCTTCCGATGATGTAATACACTTTCCAGAGTCGGTATGCTTGAGAAAAAGATTTTGGCAGCCTACAATTACAAAAAAGAATTTCACATTCACGGCTACACAGAATAGTAAACCTATAACATTAAATTATTAACCAAATAGCGATATAATTTGCGCGCAGGGTGTCATACTGAACCACCCTCAAACGTTTTACAAAAAAGGAATTATACCTATCACGACTACTGACAGAATACTAAACCTACGTCTTAGACCACAGAGGAGAGATATAATACACCCTTTTCATAAATGGCTGCTGATTAAAAATTCTTTTATGTGCATATAAATTGGCCCAACTAGCCTCGTACTCATGTTAAGATTTCAAAGGAATTTCTACCCAGAAACGAGGCTATAGTGCCAATTTATATTCACATAAAAGAATTTTTAATCGGCAGCCATTTATGAAAAGGGTGTAAGTTTTCAAAGTTTAATAATATGAAGTCAAAATTATATGCAAATTATCAAAGGCAGTCAAAAAACGCGGTAACGTCAGAATTAAACAATAGGAATCATCGAGCGAACCATTTTCTTGTTGAAACATCGGAAAGGGTCATAGAAATATCACAGCGTGAGACTGATCGAGCGAGTGATGTTATTTATCATTGTGATTCCTTGTAGTCCTTTAAAACTACGTCAAAACTCTTATCAAAACAGGTTTTAAGTTGTGTTAAATAAAGTAGAGTATACTAGATGTTTTATTACGCGATGGCCAATGGCAATGCATGCTGCTACCTTTTTCGCGAAATTTTTCATCTACAGTGTATATATATAGACTAAAGCGCGGGTATATTAAGCCACAACATCACCTGTTGTCAACACTTTCGAAAATAGGCCATGGGAAAGAAAAGCAATTTCGTGGCAACCCCCTGGGGAATAGATTTTCTGTGGTTCAATGCATAGTACCATATAGATCTCAACCGCCACAAAAAGTTCCCAAGCAGAAAACTTGCCAAACACCGAGAAAATGGGCGATCAGTGATTATCCTCTATTAAATTGTATTACAGCACGAAAATGTGAAATTTTGTATTCAATTACAACAAAAATTACTTGCATCATCATAAAGCTTACAAAAATCTACATATTGAAGACATTTAAACAGTTTTGTTATATCTCAAATTGTTTTCGAGTTATACGCAGTCAAAAACGCGTTTTTGACCTATATTATAGTACCCATCACCCATGAGTCGTTATTGCGATTTGCGACATTTTGTTCCAATTTTCCATTTAAAACAGCAATAACTCCGAGAATATTCGAAGGATCAAAAAACTGTTTAAAAGTCTTATATGCGGTTTTTTCTAAGCTTTCCGATGATGCAAATGATGTAAATGATTTTCTAAGCTTTCCGATGATGCATTTTTGTTGTAATTGAATACAAAATTTCACATTTTCTTGCTGTAATATACAATTTAATAGAGGATAATCACTGATCACCCATTTCCTCGGTGTTTGGCAAGTTTTTTGCTTCGGAACTTTTTGTGGTCAGTTGAGCATCTATGGTACTATGCATTGAACCACAGAAAATCTATTCCCCAGGCGGTTGCATGCCACGAAGCGAAATAATTTTGGCCAATGGCCCACGGCCTAAAAACTTAAATCATAGGTTGCCTTGCTACAACTGATTATACTGACATAAATGCTGCAAACATTAACAACAGAGTCAAAAATGTTCTATCAGTTTAGCCTTTAGTTTAGGTCTGGAATATTTTACCATGCAAAAGGCATGATTCTGGTGATTAAACGTTATTAATAAGACATGCATAGCAGAAGTGGCTTCTTCCACAATTCCTCCCATTTGTCTGATAAAACAAACCATCAGATCAAACTTCATAATAGAAACAACATATTGAGACTATATAAAGTCTGTGTATTGATGTTCTGGCAATATACAAGAAACAAAAAACTAAAATATTGAGTGATATATATATAGCTCCGATGTATGATGCGAAACGCCGAAAAGGGTGAGAGCAATATACGATACTTTGTGTTTATTAAAGTAGGCTACAACTCTGTTTATTTGGTCGAATTGCTATATCAATTACCTTAGTATAGTCCTTACCTTTAAACATTAATAACGATACAAGTAGCCAAGTTAGCCAACAATGAATTAGCCAAGACATTCTCGCATTGGTGGTGTCGATGTCGATATATAGCAAATGTTCGAATCAAGTACAGGTATATTTAATTTCCGCATACATGTATAGCCTAGCTAGTTAGTGAACCATGCACTGTCCTTATAGATAAAGACGTATATATATAGCGGTCGCTGCGTAATTGCTTCAGGCAAACATTCCGCCGTTAAATTTAATTTTAAGTGGAATCAATTCCACTTGAAATTTAAATTAGATATATAATATAGGGCGCAATTCGCTTAACCTCATTGACAAATATTTTCCGCCAGAACACAAGCAAGCTCCACAAAGCCAGGTTTAAACACAAACATACACAGTTAAAGCCATATGCAGCTATATAGAGTTGCATAAAAAATCTCAAAACGCATAATCACAGAGAAAGCGAAGACACACGCAGTTGCATGAAACCTTACTGTAGTCGATAGAAACAAAGGCGATATCCGATACAACGCGAGACTTTTTTTATTTATTGGTTTATGGATTTGACTTTAAAAATAAGAGGTCGGTAGGTCGGAAAAAAATTTAAAAAAAACGAACTGAGTATAAATGAGAACCGAAATTAATAATCTTTATAAAATTTTTTAACGTCAATTTCAAAAATACGCAAAGATCGTGGCTAATCTACATATTGATTGTCGCAACGATAACATGAGCCAGCAGTACCTAGAGTCAAAGTTCACTTGAAGTGTACTTCATGTCAGAACCCCAAATTAATTAAAATTAACTAAAATTGTAAATTCAGTTTGACATCCAAATTCTTTTTTTATTTTTCACTTTCTGAATATTTACGATCGGCGGATCCGTAAACAAAGGAATAAAAACTAATGTATACAACTTTCAGAAGCTGCATGCCCAAAACAACATCTCTCCGTTGCAACACAGACAATCCAGAAGACGTGTCTTCTGGATTGTCTGTGGTTGCAATATATCGTCTGAAAATAGTGTTCGTAAAAGGTACGGATAGGTGGATCCGGTACAAGTGTAAACCGGTACTTGGTATAGCCAAAGACACATGCCCACTCCGTAACTCGTAAGCAATCAGTGCATGACAAGCAACATAGACTCACAGTATACAACAACAATTATAGGCATTAGCAAGTATAGTTTCATTAATGAGTGATATTAGCAAAACCAAATTAAAACCTATTCAAAACAAAAAGTACTGAAACGAAACCGACCTTTTGAAATATATTTGGAAATTGAAAAAAATAAGCAAGTTTTTAATGCAATTAACACAATTAATGATCAATCTTAATTCTTAAATTAAGCCGGCTGCATGAGACGAGCAAGTTTTCTATGAGATAAGTTTTTATGTGGCAAGCCGTTTTATTTGCTCGTCTGTATATACGCAAGTTTGACAATTTTTACTGTGATAAGTACACTTGTATACGTACGTACCATAATAGCACAATATATGCTGCTTATACTGGCTTGATACAATATGCCAGTTTTCGATACACTTTATGGCCACGTTTATATAGAGCATTTGATTACAGAGTTTTCCTTGTCAAATTTTCCTTGACAAATTTACGTTCTCGTGTGTAGGGTCAACGAGTTTTCCTTTAATAGTTCCCCTTGAAAGTTTTGTTGCACAGAATTTGTCAAATATAATAATATTTATCTTCATATGTTGAAGTATTTCTTGTATACACTTCTCAAAGTTTGCCTTGGCGGCCGTACACACATCCGAACAAATTTTCCTTGTCCTGAAAAGGTGGCATGACCTCCCTGGCTAGGAAAATTCTTAAGGAGCAAATAAAATTCGTCAAGAAAAGATTGCCCGTCTGTATGGGGACTTAAAGGTATTTTTTTATACATGCACCCTGCATGTGTATTGACGGACTGAGCTAAATGTTCTGAAAAATTGGCATAAAATCTATCGACTTTTGTATAAAGTGGGAAAAGTAGTCTGCATGCCATCAATAATATGTCCAAGATTGTAGCTCTAAAAACAGAAAACACATTGAAATTAGTATCTCATCAAACCGAAATTATAAATTATAAACATCATTATTGTTATATATATATATATATATATATATATATATATATATATATATATATATATATATATATATATATATATATATATATATATATATATATATATATATATATATATATATATATATATATATATATATATATATATATATATATATATATATATATATATATATATATATATATATATATATATATATATTGCAAGTGAGGTCTTCACGCATATGACACTCTAGACCGCCCAAAAGAACAGCCATAGAGAAGCCAAGACTCGCCGATGCTTCAATTTCAGTTTTCAAACTAGCACTGAGGCAATAGGATAAGACAGATAAGCTGCACACCTCAAGTTCCAACAAGCAGGAAAGCTAATGTTGTTTCAGAAACGGATCTACTACTCGTCGCAATTACTGTAAATCTCTGGAAAACAAAACAGTATGATCTGGCTTCAAGTCAATCTCGAAAGTCAGGGTTTTCTACTGCGAGTATCAATTTTTATTTATCGATTGACGAGCCTCTCTATTTTCACTTTAAACAAAAATGGCGTCTCCACCACAAGAACTTCAACAAAAGTTACCCCTATAGAATAAAAGGAGGAGGCTACCTTTCACCATTAAATATTCCAAGTTTAAGTTAGAGATTGGTAGTTGTCCTCTACATCTCTGGTTTGGTTTAACTCAGTATATGTTGACTCCTCCTCAGCATTCACCCTCAACGACTGATAATTATCTTCTGTGTTCATTTTTGTAAGATCAAGCTCTTGATAAGTTGCATCAGCTTCAGTTGTCTCTGGTTCATGGCTTGATCGAGGTTGTCTCCTTCTAAATTTACGACGAGAACACGACACAATGTAGGAAAGGAGAATTCCAATGATAATTCCAGACACCAATGTTACGACAACAATATACCATTCTGTTCCACGGCTGGTGTCATTTGAACATGCTTTGTCTAAACGTTGAAAAGTACACTAGAACATGTATATATCACAGCACGCTGCATGTCTGTATTGCAGCAGAAACAACATAACTAGGTATTTAAATAAGCTAATGTCACAGCAATTAGGGTGATAAACAATAATTATGATCGGTAGTTAATTATCCATATTAATTTCAGTGTTCTGTACTGTACTGTGTTGATTTGTACTGTACTGTACTGTACTGTACTGTATAGTACTGTACTGTACTGTACTGTACTGTACTGTACTGCACTGTACTGTACTGTACTGTACTGTACTGTACTGTACTGTACTGTACTGTACTGTACTGTACTGTACTGTACTGTACTGTACTGTACTGTACTGTACTGTACTGTACTGTACCGTACTGCAACATAACATACTTCACTGCATTGTTTGTATAGAATATTGTACAATTCCTTCTCTAATAATATACATGAAAAATGAAAAAATTATCAATTCTGATTGCCTAAGAGCAGTGGAATTTTCTTGAAATACCGTGCCAAAAAATGAAATACAGTGCAAATTTCATTGACTATTTAGGCTTTCTGATTGGCTAAAAATAAGAAACAATAACAAAGATAGCAAGATACAGCAATTTCCAGCCGAAATAATAAAAAAACACAAACATTTAGGAGTTTTTAGGAGTGACAAAAATGGCTGGCATTAATTTTTTCATTTTACATTTATATTATTAATAAGAATAGCTAGCATGGTCTCAAACGGGCTAGCATGGTCTCAAAGGAACTTGTATTTAAAGAAAAATTCAAGGCGATAATTTATGAGCGTTTATTACCGTGGTAGCAAGACAATGATACGGTTCTGGTTTCCTTTGTGTTTTGTTTATGAATTATGAATAAGTTTGTGTGTATATATATATATATATATATATATATATATATATATATATATATATATATATATATATATATATATATATATATATATATATTTATAGGTAATAGTATGGTTTCTCGTGCAAAATTTGAAAAAAAAACATACAGGAGTGAATTTTTCAAAGACTTCAAATTTCACTCGTCCTTCAGACTCGTGCAATTTTGACAGTCTTTGAAAAACTCACACGTGCATGTTTTTTTTTCCAAATTGCACTCGAAACCACACTATTACCTATACAAACTTATTCATAATTCATAAGCAAAACACAAAGGAAACCAGAACCGTATCATTGTCTTGCTACCACGGTTATAAACGCTCATAAATTATTGCCTTGAATTTCTCTTTAAATACATGCATGTCCGTTTGAGAAGTAATATTAGAGACCTTATACGATTTTAGGACGGCAACGGCCAAAACAAAGTCCTTCAAATGAATGGTAGTAAAGATAGTTCGTCGTATATTATCAATCATATGAATTTAATACAGTCTTAGAAGTTGACGACATGCGTTTTATGGTTGGGTAGAGTTCTGCTAAACCCAGTTTGACGTTGCACTTGTTGTGGCTTGGAATGCAGCCGTTGTAGCAAGACGTGAAAATCTGTGATTTGGCGTTGTAAACAGAGCGAGGACAATGTCTAAATTATTCATATATTGTAATTACTCAATTCTTTTCAATGATCAATTATTGCATTGGTAGCCGTTGCCGTCGCGTTGCCGTCCTAAAATCGTAAGGTCTCTATTATGTATGAACTGCGACGCTGTTTATAGTTGAAAGGTATTAGCCATTCCGAAGTTGATGATTGGACTGGGGATGAGTGTTAAAAAGTGTCCAAATTAAGAAATGAACCAAATCACTAAAAAGACCACCTCAAAATTAGTAAGTATACAATAATGTTTGAAGACGTTTACATGAATATCCTTCGCCGGAATAATAAGCTTTCAAAAATCGTGATATTTATATGAAATACATTGTAATTTTTGTTTTTGGGACGCACGTCCCAAAAACAATCTTTTAATCAGTAATTTCGCAATTTTTGAAAGCTTATTATTCGAAGAATATTCATGTAAACGTTTTCAAAGTTTGTATACTTACTAATTCTGAGGTGATCTTTTTAGTGATTTGGTTCATTTCTTAATTTGGACACTTTTTAACACTCGTCCCCAGTCCTCTCATCAACTTCAGAATGGCTAATTGTAGATGGAAATTATCGAGTGGAAATTTATATACATTTATTAGACCTAACCAGGAACAGCTTCGAAAAATGCAACTATAGGTCCCTGGCAGGAGTCGAACCTGAGGCCCTGCGATTCCGGTGCAGCGCTCTAACCAACTGAGCTACAGAGTCCAGTTGTCGAGCCAACCTCGTTCCCAGGCTCTTTGCTCAAGTTTATGTATATATACTAGGATACTGCCATGTATAGGTTATGTGTAAATATTAAGATTTTGTTGGCATCTCACTCGATTGAATAATAGGTGAGGATAGTGTAGATGGAAAGTATTGTGTGGATTATCCACTAAGAAAATTCCAATGTTGCTCATAGTATCATATATTGACACTTGACAGAGAAATTGCCATCATTAGGTATCTTATTCAATCAAATCATCCGCTACATATGGCAAAAAAAACGATTTCTGATTAATCGTTACACCATTTCAAACTCACGAGGGAGATTTATAGACCGAGCATTTCTGGACAGAGTAAAATATACCTGAAAAAATAGCTATTGGTTTTACAAATGCCACACTTGTATTTCAATGCAGTTTTCTTATATGGCAATAAACTAGCTACTTATGATTTGATTACTGCACAATCAGTGGGATTGGTCGAGATGGCCCATCTCTAGTGGTCCTGGACAAATGACTCATTCGAAATTACTCGTTTTTCATCACTCATGTAGTGTATTCCCCCTGCACTGTCGGACATTGTACGGTTTTGTTTGTATGGTACACCGTAGTTCCAGATGTTGACTTCACTTTTGTTTCATAAAAATGGGTTTACATGCAATATGCAATCATAAGTCTTCTCATTTAAATTTATACGAAGCTGTGTCCTATGAAAATCATTACCTGGAGGTTTTACGAACGTCCTAGTAATGTTGCTCCATTCTGTCGAGTAGTACGAGTTCTTTACAAAAAAAAATACTATAATTAATCAAGTTTTCTACCAACAAAAGTTTTTGTCCAAAATATGAACAAAGAAGCTCTGTATTTACAGAATTTACCTGATTTTCAAAGAACCTGAGGAACAAAATATAACTTGAATTCTGTTTCAGAGGTTGATTGAAGTATTTTTGTTTTTCCGAATTATACTCCTTTCCATCACCGATCACGAACGTCAAAGGCAGAGCATCAGTTTTCAAATAAGCAGTGATGTATGGATCTTGTGTGTTGGCCTGGTAAGGTTTAAGATCGCTTGCTTTGAGGCTTTTGACTGGTTTTGGATTGTCGGAGGCAATTTGTACGATGACCATCACCTCTCTTAATGACGAACAAATACATGTTAACAACATCAAAGAAATTAGAGTAGTGTGATTGGATTCGAAATTATCACCAGGAAACCATGGGTGACAACATGCAGATACGATTAATGTGCTGCCCCTTGCCGCTATGCTAAGCATGCTGTTGCAGGTTGAATTAATAGGATTTACTGAGGTTGCAAAGTAACTTCCTTGTGCTTAAAAACTAATTATGTAATTGATGTATGGTTCATTATCTAATTTTCCTCCGGGTCCTCCGGTTTTTCTCCCTCTCAGAAAATGAACCTTTAGGTTTCAGTTAGCCTGCGACTGCGTGCCTGCGACATAACTTGATATTTAATGAATTCTGGTTGAGGCTGCACGCAGGCTAGGTCTTAGCAGTGAACTGTAAATAACCAGGTCTTAGTGATCGAGAATATTGAGCTTGAGCAAGCGTGTCCGTGTTGAAACTTCATCCGAAGATTGGTACAACTGATTTTGCCCGCATTTTGCATCATTGCGTTCATGCAACGAAGCAAAAGACTTTAAAAATCTTATTTTTTTGTCACATGTGTTGAAGATCCCCACAAACTGATACAAACAGAGTTTTTAATCCAGTTCCCACTCGGCAATCTGACGTCCGTGTCGGCCGCGAAAACGTCGCTTGCTTAAGCTCCCTAATCGCAAGCCTCATGTTTGGTCGAAGTATCAGGTGAACTTACTTGATATACGCCGGTGGTTTCGATATGGTTAGACTTGAATAAGATATCGACCCAAAAGGTTCTAAAAGTATGAAATGAAGTAAATTATGTGAAATTCCATGGTCAATAAGTGGATCTAGTCTTTGCTCATGCAATTGAAGGGGAGATGAGAGGGCTTAATAAATTTTCTCTAAAAACAAGGAGTTTAGAGAGGGGCTTATTTTGATACGCGGGGATAAGTAACTTTTTTTGAGGATCTTCTATCCAGAGTTCGTATATACATATCAGAAAAAATCAAATTCAAGGACTTTTCGAAGACGAGGACATTCTAGAACATGTATCAACAAATTCAAGCACTTAACACTGAAAAAAAAGCGTTATAAATCAGTACAATGTCACGTTGAATTGTTCAAAACGCAACTTTAGTGAATTTCAAACAACTTTTTCAAATATGATCATGTAAAATCAATTCAACAAAATGTCCATTTTTGAATGTCAAATAATTTCAGAACTAAAATATCCATAAACTAAAGCAAGACGAATTCCAGGACTTTCAAGCACTCCTTTACAAATGCGAGGACATTCAAGGACTTTCAAGTTTTGCACGAACCTCATGTCTATCTTTACCTGCTTGTTTAGTTGTAAAGGTTTCAGTGACGTAAGTGCCTCTCTGGACAGAACCATCTTTGGTCTGTATTCCAAAAGTATTCTCAGTGTTCGGTTCAAGTGGAAGAATATTGAACTCAGTTCCATACATTGCTCGAGATATCTCCTTCACAAATTTGTTGTTGAGATAAATTAAATAATGTGTTACATAGCTGGAGTCCTGAGGTGCTGTAGGTAATTCCCAGGTCACACGTGCAGAGTAATCCGATGGTGAAACATTGATATTCTTTACAGGAGCTGGCGTTTGAACTAAAATTAAAAACAATGCAAATATTAGCAAACAATTGATTTAACCATGGTTTTACTATTAAAGTCCACACTACGGGACCATGCAACCGATCGCTTTATTAAGTCCGCACCGCATGAGTCGCACTGAATCGCCTAAATTCGCCTTACGTCGTCAAACATCCCTGATTTCCCTGATCCAATTAATCATTAAGTTTTTTTAAATTTATATACCACATGCATGTTTATCCTATGCAAAAAATATATTAGTCATACGATTTTAAAGTTCATACAGATTTGAACTGCATAATCACATAGTGATACTTGAAACATGATCAAGTACACTTTGATCATACTACCATGCTCTGGGGGCCGGTTGTATAAAAAAGTATAGTTAATTGAAGTTAACTAGAGTTAGCCCGGAAGTCAATCAATAAAAATCGCGTATTTTAGAGTTAACTACTATTTAACTACAAAATATTGGTTAAAACGTAACTAAGCGTTTTATACAACCGAACCCTGGTAAAGGATGGAGTTTGATTCATTCAGTTCCCTTCAACTATTACATCAAAAGGAAAGTTGTGTCTTGATCAAGACAAAATCAATCTGCATGTCTACCAAGATATAAGGATTTTTTGCCATTGGATAAAAACAGGGCTTTCACGATACGTTTAATCCTTTACCATTAGGATCTAGTCATCGACAAATCTACTCTAGTCAATATGTTAAAAATTGAATATGCATGCATGTTATTATCACATGATAAAGCTCAATTACGACTTGTCACATGCAACAATTAAAATTTTCAACTATCTAGCTACTAATCACTATCTAAGACTAATTCTAACTGTAAACCTATATTAATGAAGAGAATGATAAAAATCCTAATTTTTACTGACAACTAATAGCAATGTCATGTCTTACCCTCTCCACACAGTTCTATTCGAAGACAAAAGTTTTGTTTTTCAGTGGATTCTATTTTCATATACCTCACATTATAAATATTAAGGCTTGTTGTCGATGCTTTGAAGCGATACTTGTTTCCTTTTATCTGGAACATTGTAAGAATTCAGAAATAAATTTTACCTTTCTTGCACCGATGGAAAGACAAAAATAACAATATGGCTAAATTAACATGTACAGTTAAATACAGGAATCGACATTTTCCTGTATGCAACCCAGCGCTATAATCTGTTTAAAAAATTAGTGTTTGTTCTGTTTAAAATAAGTGATCGGACTTTGTACAAATAGAAAAGACCCTATCACTCAAATACATTTTATGAATGGAATTTAACGGCTTCAGCAGTGATTTGACTTGGGAGTTCATGCATAAAAGTTCGGAGCTCTATAAACCAGCAGGCTATTGCGACCACTGAAATTATAGAGTGAATATAAGCAGTATTTAATTCATGATTGTACTGGTTTTCTTTTATGTACCGCGGTGATTAATTAAATAGGCTAAGCGTATATTTACCCCGATTTACCAGTTCAGGGGAAATAAGTCAAGGAGCCAGTTATTGTCCCCTCCCCATGGATACGAGCTAATCTTGCAAGAAGTAGTTTTATCTACATTCTTTCTGGGAAAGAATGCTCACTATCTTTTTTATATACCCGTATTGTACTGCTACGATCCACCAATGTTCTATCATGACTGTATTTTAACGAATATGAGCCGCTCCACCTTGTTTGTTCTATATCAGCCATAACCACAACTTGTTTTATGTGATATTGTTTCTGAAGATCAAGCATAAGATATCTAGTGCCAGAGCCCAATGGACACCAGCCACCTTTAGTAATCCTTGCACGTTTATAATTAACGTTTAAATCACCACCGCCAGAAAATATGGAATCTGGAAAAGTGTTTGCGTCATGGAGTAGCGGTTTGTCACATATTTTGCCTACAGTAAAAACAGATAAAGTAATTAACGCCTCCATTGGCATCTACTTAGTAACGCAATCGGACCTCCTTCAGCCCTTAATACAAAATGACTGAAAATTGCAAATTTCGCAAGGCTATATTATCCGCATTTTACAACATTTCGCAACGAAACTTTGGAATATTACTAATTTTGTGATGCTCTTTCAAGCTATGATGAAATTTTTGTCTAGATCAAAATTTAGTCTATAATGCAAATGGTCCATTGAGTTCCACCAAAGCTACTAGTAGGTCTAAATACAGTACAGCATGAATTAGCCGTCACAATTTCGCAAGTTTACTTCGCTAGAGCTCCAGTTGATCGCCTTTATTAACTTGCTTAACTACAAATTCAGAATGGCAATACTTTTCTGGGTAAATAAAAGATTTTGGGCATCTTATTCGATAGAACAAATTTTTTATGGAAATCTCGAGTGTAAATAATATACACTTATTACAACCTCGGGAGACCCCTGAGGTACGAGGTTGCACTTATTAGACCTATAACAACAAGGCATTTTTTAACTATATAACTGGGGGGGCCAAAGCCCCCCAGCCCCCATGGTGGCCCCCCCACTCAACCATTTTGGCCCCCCCAGTCAAAGTCCCTTTTCTCTAAAATATAAGCAAAACATGGAATTTAGAAGGGAGGTTTGATATTCTAGTAACTGAAATTTGCTTTGTGAATCTTATGTCCTGCTTTTATGTTTAATAAATACCTTATTAGATTCTAAACATTTCCCAGGCAGTGGATTGCATTTCCCAGACCCTATAGATTTGAGTTGTTGGACTAGTTAGTGACCACAGGGGGCAACAGGCCCTCAACCAAGTATTTTATAAGGGGGGGGGGGGGTAATTTTGGCCCCCACCAAAAAAAAACCAATTTGATTTCGAAACTAGAAGTATTTGAAATCATATATACATATAATCAAATATCTGTAATAGATATTTTGAAAACATTTCTCGTAATAATCCATCCTGACTCGCGGATATCATAGACTTACAAATCATAATGAACGAATTAATGAAAGGGCCAAACAAAAGACGTACAGAAGACTTTGAAAATGCCATTTCCGATGATTTAGAGACGCAAAATTTTCAAAATATTTCCGTTCTGTGCCAACCATGGTGGCGCTTCGTGGGAGTCGGGAACTCTAAGTTTATCAAGCTGGCTCCCTAAGTGACAGCCAAGTTGTGGTATCTACATAAACATACTATGCAAGTACTTAACTGAAGGTTCAGTCTATATCTACAGCATAATGTAATGCTGTATATCCAAAAATCTGTTTTAGAAAATGCAGGGAATTGCAGTCATAGGGGTAGAAAAATACAAAAATTTTCTGGGGGAGAAAACCCCAGACCCTCTCCAGGGCCGTAGCAACTGCGGGGGGGGGGGGCTGGGGGGCTGCAGCCCCCCAATAATTTGCTAATAATCATTCATTTTTCAAAATCATGCAGACCTTTATTATTTAATCCATGACAAACTGCAAAGAATGAAGATATTACCCATACTTTCCTGCAACTTATCCAATATATCGTTAATTAAATACACCTTCGTCCATTTAGTACTACTGAATTCTAAATTTCCACATACTAAAAACGCTGTTTTCTGACAATCAGAAATCCACCAAATTTTCCCCAAAGTCCAGGAAATGGCATTTCAGAGACTCTAAATTTAAAAATTTCCTCGGGCCTTCGGCCTTCGCTTTCAGCCCCCCCCCAAACGAAAAGAGCTTCCTACGGCCCTACTCCCCCCCTACTATTAAATGCGATACCACACCAAACTTTTTGTTACCAACAAACCATCTATCATTGCTCCACACTTGGTATAGTATGGTCCCTTTTTGTAGATGGCCCCCATTGACAAATTCTTAAAAAATGCCCTGTTTATAAGTCATTCATAACGTAAACGTAAGACGCCACTGAACCAAATGTGAACAAACAAGCATATAGCAAACACTTCTGTTGCGATGTATTATTGCTGGCATGTACTATACCAGCACACCATGGCATTGCCATTCCTAGATCAAATTCGTGCTGATGGCCATTTTATCGGCGTGGAAGATTTATTGATCAAAGAAAATCTGAAAAAATAATAGTCCGTCGTATATTTGAATTATCCTTTGGGATATTGCTTGCTTCTTTCATCCGATTCTTATTAAAAATTTAGCAAACAATTAAATTATTTTTTTGTACAATTAAGGTACGAAATTTACATAGTGTGCAAATTTGAAGGCGTTAGCGTTATAATTTAGTTGATATAACAAAGCAGGAAAACTTTGTCACTGGCGATTCGCTGTCAAGATAATTTAAAACTACAAGTTGTCTCGCACATTTTCATGCATATTATTAATACGTAATGGATGATTCCTCGTGAAATTTGGATAAAACAAAACTGTGGCACTGGTGCTATATTTTGATGCTTTTTGAAAAACTCACTCGACGTGCAATATTTTATCCAAGTTGCACTCGAAAGCATTCTGACTATTAGGCCTACCTAAATTTATTTGTTGATTTTCGGTGAGATAAAAAATAACAAAAGTGTGAGATATAATTGTGTGACACAAATCTTTTAAAATTAACGCAGCAAATTTGAATAAGCAACGGAACAAAAACTTATTTCAATCCCAAGTTTGCAAAGAACTTTCCTCGTTATAATTTTGCAATCTGCAAAAATACCACAAATCGACCTGAAGTTTTTGACAAGAGGGGTTGATGAGGCTACCGCCGTCCTCTTCTAAAACCTTGCTAGTACTTGGCTTTGGATAAAGTCCAGCAAATCACGCCGGGTCAGCTCTTCCCAAAAATCGGCCATCTGATATAAACTTTTTCAATATATTTCGGATGGACATGAAACTTGCTACATCAATATAACTTTCCATTCCGAACAATCGTATGTTTTTTTATTTTTGAGATTTAACGGTTTTTGGCGGGAAAATGACGTCACGAAACCTCCAGTTAAAATTTATTTTCAATATCTTAATAGTTTTTAAGCAGAATGTGGAAGATCATGTCATGAAGAGTTCAAAACTGAAAAGAGATTTTAAATATCTTAATTTAATCACGAGATACAGGGAGTTTAGAATCGAATTTTCCACCATTTTGTTACTATTTTTAGATTTTTCACGGTTTTTATAGTGAAATAACTTTGGATTAGGTTTAAATATTTAAAATCCGTTTTCAGTTTTGAACTGTTCATGACATGTTCTTCCAAATTCTGCGACAAAACTATTAAGATATTGAAAGTAAATTTTAACTGGAGGTTTCGTGACGTCATTTTCCCGCCAAAAACCGTTAAATCTCAAAAATAAAAAACATACGATTGTTCGGAATGGAAAGTTATATTGATGTAGCAAGTTTCATGTCCATCCGAAATATATTGAAAAAGTTTATATCAGATGGCCGATTTTTGGGAAGAGCTGACCCGGCGTGAATTACCAATCAAATCAGTCAATTCGTCACTGTAATAATGGACATCATTATATATTACAAGTCTATTCTCTTTTGTGATTGGTCAAAACGCGTCAGATAATTCTCGGCATCTTTGAAGCCGTCGCGTTATTTTTTGCTGCTGACGCCATCAGCATGCAATAATACTTTTTGGGATCAAAGTTCGGTTCAGAAAAGGTATTCTTGCACGCTGTGGTTACCAAGCCAGGGCGCGGTCCACTGTTTGCCAAGCGCACGAATATTCCATATTTTTAAAAGCGCAAACAAAATGGCTTTGCTTTCTTTCTAGCTTTTGAATATATAATAAAACAATTAATTGAATTCGTTTTTCGTATGGTATCGAGAATTATATCAAGGCCTTTGTTTGTGTTATCCACCTCAGTCTTCGGCTTCGGTAGATAACACAAACTTCGGCCATGATAATTCTCGATATCATACTATACCTCATTCAATATTTAACAATTATTCGCCGAAGGCGAAGTGATTACCGGTGGATATTCACCGAGACGAAGTCGAGGTGAATATTCACCGTAATCACTAAGCCTGCAGCGAATAATTGTTTTAGTATAAATTTTTAATAAATAAAACAAAATATCCAAATATCAGTTTAATTAAAATTAAGAAATAAAACTGTTTTCGGCCGGTTTTACGGTTGCTGTTTTAGTGTTGCGGTGTTTCTTGTACACGCGTGCTTTCAAAATAGCTTCTTTGTGACTTTTCTGCCTTTTTACAAAGTTGTTTTTCTCGATTTCTGCTTAGAATATAAACAAAATGATGGAATTACTTTTTTACCAGACTTATAGTTAAAAAAATAGTTTCTGTTTAGCGTCAATTTGTTCAAGAAATGGCTGAGGAAATTGGTAAAGTGGAATGTAAAACTATTGCTCGAATGCCTCGAAATAAAGTTTTAATAACACTTTTCACTTTACAAGTTTCGAATACACAATACAGGGCCAGCTAGGACACCATACAGAACAATGAAAACATGACATATCAAAAGAAATAGTATCCCACAAATTGAGATATCTATAGGATACAAAACAAATTGGTTTTAAAAGAATATCACGGCAAGGTTTTTCCCAACAGTCGGGATAGTTTTCCTATATTTGTTTGAATTGAACGTTTCGGAGTGTTAGTCAAGTTTTAAATTGTTCGTGAATATGTTTGACACAGTAAAAGGAATCCTATGCCTTTCAAGTTAAATACAACATTTTGTGCTTCTTTCGTTCTCTGAGTCGCTTTTTTCAATATTTTGTCGATTTTGAAAAAAAAATTTGCAGAATCATTCTTTTTGAAAAGCATTATTTATTAGTCGGCTAGTAAATAATGCGTCAGATTTACTAGTCAACTAGCCAATCAGAACGCGCGAAAGCTTATTTGATATGCAAAAATTATACTAATTGTTTAATATTATACACAACGCACCACGATACGTCAGTTCTTGATAACTTGATTTATAGCTTATATATATGGTTATCATGTACAGATCCGTAACTAGGATTGGCCGAGTCGAGCGCCGAAGACACGAGGCACCTTCGTGGGGTCTGGGGTCATGCTCCCCACAAGAATTGTCGATTTTCTAAGGCTTACAAACGCTATTTCCTGCATTCTAAGAGAAGTTCAACCGAAAATTCAATCTCATAAACAATTACATAATGCATAGAAAACCGGTACCAATTCGTAGAAAATGTTAATAAAATTGTTTCAAACGTTTTGCCCACTCAATTAATGGCCGCCATTTTGAAACTGACTGCACAAGTCACTGGAGAAATCTACCCTGGGCCTGCGATGCTTTGATGGAATGTCACGTTTGTGACACCACAAAAAAACTAAAAACGAACAAAGATAGAAAGCCTCATTGTATAACACTGGCTCGTTCGGTGTAAAAAGCAGAATTTCTTACCTCAACATCGAGTGCATGGCCTGCAAATCCAAATACTCCATAAGGGTACAGCGAAGGGATATAGCTTGCCAAAGGAGCGTGAGAATATTGAAATACATAAACATTTGTAGTATTCATGTGTTTAGATCTTAGTTTGGCCTCCTGTCTGCTCCCACAAATCATCCATCGATCTGATTCAAATGCCACGCTCGGTTTTAACGCTTCCAAATAGGAAGGAATACATTTCGGTAGGTACAATTCTCTCGCTTTCTCATGCACCGCTTTGGATGAATTCTTGAAATGCATCTTTAGTAATTCCTCGAAATTTTTCAAATAATAGCTTATGTTCGTCGACTTTTGCAATAATTGTTGCTGGCCCACAAACATTTCATCTTTAGTAATACCAATAATTATATTTTGTATTTTGACGTCTCGGTCCTCCCATAATTTTTGTGGTTTATCAGCAATGAATTCTCCATCAACATTAGGCGCAGTCCATATTCCACCAAATTCTTTGCTATTCACCGCTATTTTTAATGTGTCTTCAGTCACATTTCTTAGACATTCAAGCACATTTTCATCATTGTCGCAATTAACTTTTCCTAGAAACCATTTTAATCCATCTTTGATATAGGAATCTGTCATAATCGCCCACGGCATAAGCATGTTTCCACTTTGCAAGATCGCTCTGTCAAACAACTCCCAGCTACCTTTAGATAACGTATGTGCTGAGACACTCGCACCTCCAGCACTCTCGCCAAATATGGTGATTGATTTTGGATTTCCACCAAAATATGCAATGTTTTCTTTAACCCATTTCATCGCCAAACGTTGATCATACAGACCGAGGTTACCTGAAGATCACAAAGAACCAATATTAAAAGAATACAATGTGACAATAAAAATTTTGTTTCCATTATTTTAATTAGAAAATACATGCATGCAGAAACCCCACGCCTTGCTGATAAAACCATTGTATTTTCCGAACGTGAAGTATTTAAAGTAGTTGTCATAATAATTTTGTTAAGAATATTTTTACAAATGAAAAATCCCCTAAAAATATCACTTTTATTTTATTTTTAATTACAAATTTATCAATTCCCCAAAAATATATGTTAGGTGTGTTATTATACGTAATATACAGTAAGCTTCAATTTAAGGTAAAATTCGACCTCAAACCTTTCGCAAGACGGTCTAAATGTTCTTTATGAATTAAATTTCCTTTATCGAAAAAGTTTGAGTTCATTAAATAAAATGATTACAATTTCTCGGATTCAAATAACTTTGCTTTCTTTTTTGATTAAAAATTTTAATATAATAAAAAGGGTAATCAATAGAGAAACACTGAAATTATATGCTGTCTTTTCTCATTTAAAATATACACAACAATCAGCTTTTAAAGCAATTATAAAGCAAACAATACATCAATATTTAAAACAAACTTACCTTCATGATTTTTCTGTGTTGGTGTTATGTACTCAGGTGAATATGATGTTTGTGATGTTACTCTGAGTGTATATCTACACCGGGCAAGCTTGAAAAATATGCCTGGCTACGGCGCCTTTACTCCTTTCTTTTAGCAATTCTTTCGCCTTTATTTTCTTAAAAAGGTCTTGAAATTCACAAAATCTTGCAAAAATGAAACAATTTGCAAAAAATGATCAAATCAAGAAATATTTGCTATTTTACTGTGGTCATGCAGTCATTATAATGCAAATTTTAAATTTGACCAATTAGTGTTCGCTATTCGCGATATTTTTGAGATCAGAGGGGATGACCACCCACCCTACACGCACGGTCACCCACGATCATTAGTGCTTTCGTTTCCTCGGATGTAAATAGCCGGGGAAACTATATATGAAAAACTATGTATGGAAAACTCGAAATATTTTGACCTTATTAAAATCATTGGACATAAATCAGTCAGCTGTCCGCCATCTTGGATTATTGTGGATATGCATGTTACTTCGAAGTTCGAACGCATAATAACACAAATTCTTGAATCTGCGGCCATGCAATTTCGGTGCAGCGCTCTAAACAACTGATCGGAGCTAAAGCGTCGCGGTGTTGAGTGAATTCATCGCTCCCTATAGGTTGTTGTTCCAAACGATTTATTTCTTTATGGATAGAAATTGTTAATTATTAAGAGCTATCAGAAACGTCGTTTCATCAGTGAAACTAAATCTGTGAAATTTACATTTTGCGATGGCGTACCTTTAATCCTGTTATCTCCAGTTGTGAGAAATCCAAGAGCTGATAATCTGTAATTGATCGTCACCAGTATCACGTCCCCGACTGCTACGAAATTCGAACCTGGATACAAGCCAGTGTATCCGCGCCGAAACGATCCACCATGTATCCAAACCTAACGGGAATATAAGCTACGTCATTCAAAGCATTTCACCTGTCCTGTCAGTATAATTTTATAGTTAGGTTTTGAGAGTGGGGAAACGAAATATCATACCATGGAAAAACAATAGATATAAAGAAATAAACATTGCGTCATTTGAGCAAGGTCTTTTTTGCGCGTTTTTGCCGGCACCAGGATGGAATTTGGATGCACCTTGAAGATATTGAACTGAGTCGCGCGATCAAATGGCAACATTTGATATTGACTTGTTCTCCCCAAGCCAACGGCGCAATGCGCCGTTCCATGCGTTAGCCCGGACCGGGGAGAGGCTACTAATTCCACTCGGCCATTTATACCCGGAGAAAGGGAAGCATTAGCGAAGTCAAAAGTATGGGTGGGCCTCCTCACTGATCTCCAAAATATGGCTTTTTTCCAGGATAAGCAAAATACCATGATTACCTCGATTTTCATTGTTCTGAAAGGGAATGTAAATCCCACGGGCGTATTTCCCTCATTACCGATGCATACGCTTTTGTCTTCTAAATTTTCCCGAGAAATTTAGTTGAACACAAAAGATTTCTTTGTTCCCTTATGAGGAGAAATTAGAAGACAAAGAAATCTTTTGTCCTTTACTAAATTTCCCGAGCGAAAGCGTATCCCATTACCTCTCATTGGAGAGCTGTATCTCATCGAAAATCATGGGCACAACTATTGACTACAACGTCCCGTACCCATACGAACGATCACTTTGCCAGTTTTTATTCCGCAATCTTGAACTTTTCAATAGGCAACTTGCATGTTACCAAAGCATCATGGGAAAAATGGTAACCTTCACATGCACGCGAAATGGCCGCCGTGGAGCGAGCATTTTGCATGTGAGAAATATAGTTTATTTTTAACACTTTTTTCGTAACGTTTGAAAATTTTAAAACAACGGAGAACTTTGTAATGCTATAAAGTTTGTTTTGACTCAAGTACAGCGAAATCGAACCGAAAATGGACGAGAAAATTCCTGTAGAAGAACTAAGGAGCGAACAGTGTGCTCATAAATATGTTCCAAGAGGAAGGGCCTTCCCAACGTTTTAAGGTGAGCACGCTTAGTAAACATCGGGCGGCTCATCATTTTAAACTACAAATTTGTGTGTGTTGTATCTTGATGTACATCTCGTATTTTGACAACGATCGAGTGTTTCCTGCGGATTTTTTCGCTTGTTGAAATCGGCTAATTCATGACAAAATGTCTGTCGATCGTTCGATCAGCATGGCGCTCAAACACAATGCTTTAAAAAGACCTTAAAAAATGTTTTGGCGCGAACTAAAAGCAGTTCAAACCGGTTTTTTCTGCCCCGGTAACTTTACTTTGTAAAAACGCCAAAGAGAAAGCATTTTGCCTCTGTTGTCGCTTATTTTTCTGCTTCCTTTGTTGTGGTCGGTTTATTTCCTGTCAAAATAAACAAATAGGTTTTTAGTATTAAAATATTAGGCTTAAAATATATTAAATTCATAGTTATATTAACGTAGGAAAAACCGTTTTAAATTTGCATTTAAGCTAGTAGAATATAATATAGTAAATTTTTTAAATTTAGTTATTTATAGTAAATTTAGGTATTTTAATCTTCAGGCAGGCCCTAAGGATTAAATTTGTAAATAGTAAAATAAATAATTAAGGTATAGGTTTAAAAAATATAAATTTTTTGATGGATATTGAGCCGGGTACTTCATCGGAGGCAGATAAAAGCAACACAGAAAATGCATGTTCTAAAAGAAAATATAAAGGAAGTGGAACAATTTGCTGCATTCCAACATGTAGTAGCAACACTAAAAGAAATCCAGAACTCTCATATTACCAAATTCCAACTGACAAAAAGCTCAGAAAGATGTGGTTGCATTGGATCGGACGAGCTAATTTTACACCAAACAACCATCACAGAGTTTGTTCAAAGCATTTTGTGAGTGGCAAGAAGACATGTCTTCACAATGTTGCAACTATAGTACAAAAACTATTACTGGCCACCCAACCAAAACCCAGAACAACATCTAAATGCAGAAATAGAGACAACACAATTGAAGATATTTCTGAGATAGAAGATGAGCCCACTAGTGAGGACAGAATTTCAGAACTTGAAGAGCTGGTTGAAAACCTTCAGCAGAAAGATCAAGAACAATAAGAAAAGATATCCGATTTGAAGGGAAAAGTCGAACAGTGCAATTTTTCTATATACCACATTAACAAGCTCACATTAACGAGAACACACCGAGTATACCACATTAACGAGAACAACACCTCTCCTCTATAGTACCACAATCACACTTCCCAAGGAAGTGGAGATGAGCAACGGCACTAAGACCCGCTCCGATAGAGACACTGTATAACGAACGACTTATGACACACACACACACACACACGAGTTTGGGCCGATTGTTGACGCTGATTGCCGCGAACACAGGACGAGAAGGACGATGCGATAGAGGATGGATTGGGAGAAACGAGGGTCGTTAACCCAGCGAGGCTGGCGCGAGGTGCCAGATCATGAACAGGGAAAGGTACTTAACTGAGATTGGGCAATCGACGGGCAACGAGCCAAACGACGGGGCTGGCTGCGGGTTACGAATGGGCGTGGGTGAGGGGGGGTGGGAACAACTAAGAACCCCCGTGGGTGAGGGGGGATGGGAACGACTAAATGTCACGACTGAGAATGAGCTACTGGCGTAAACAACTTACATAAGGTAGGTTATGCAAATGCCCTCATTAGCATTTGCCAAGCTGTGCCTGGGGCCTCTATCTTGTGCCTGGGGCCCCCTATTCTGATAACAAGTACAACAACTCAGTTCATTATTAATATCATTTATTTCATAAATCCAATTAACAAGCTCGCTTCGATCGTAACTGGCAAATCTGATAATTGACTTGGCGGTTTGTGGTACCACTGAAGAGAAAGTTCGGTCGAAGCCATGACTGTGGGTCGAGAGTTTGCGTTTAGTCATGGCCACGTTCACAAATTAGGTATCGACGCCTTGGTGACGTATTTACATTTAATTTAATTAACCTAGCTGTTCTCGAGTGCCGAAAACAACACCTCCCCAGGGCACCACTCCAGCAACGCTGGAGAGAGGGGTTCGAGGCACTCGAACCCTCCTCCAAAACGGTTCGAATTAGGCCAGCGCGGCAGCTATTGATGTTAGCACGGGCGATGGAGTCCGAATGTAAAGAAGGTACGCGTTGCTTGACCAACGACCCAATGTCTTAATTAAGTGATCCTAGATGCCCGTAGACGCTGCTGCTGTCGCCGCGCCAATCCTAAAAGTGTGACTGGTGTAAGGTACCACGTATTCTCATGTTGGATAAAATCGCACGGAGCCAACAGTTGACCACCACTGGTGTTAGCGGAGAACCATCGATCAGATACCACGAACAGTGACCTGGGAGCGTTGCCTCGAACCTGAAGGTAACGGCGAACCGCAGATACGGCGCAGATGCGCTTTCCCGACGCACCGATGAAGAGAGACACTCCTCGGCGGAACGGGTCCGTTTTTGACGTCTTGATGAAGAGGTGAAGGCAACCCGACGTATCAAAGGACACGCCTGAAATCGACAGGACCTGTAGTCGTGACCAACATGCCCCCCAGAGATGCGCATCTACAACGATAGGCAGAAGCTCCATAAACGCGATGGATTGTGGGGAAGACAGAAACGACCAGGAACCGAAACACCAATGGGAACGCCACATTGCTCCAAAACCGATGGGCCCTGCTGCGTCAGACGCGCCGAACAAGTCGGTAAGCTGGGATACGCCAGGCGACAAGAAGAAGCTGATGCCATTCCAATCACGAAAGAAAGCGAGCCATCAGTGGACATCCCGACAAAAATCGACGTTAAGGCGAATTGGGTGCGAGCGATTGCAAAAATGAGCCAGAAGATCAATCATACGTCGCAAAAACGTTCGCCCAGGACGGAAAACTTTGCACGCGTGGTGGAAGTGGCCAGTCAAGGACTCTAATTCCTGACGGTGACAAGTACGCTTGTTGGACCAAGACTGGAGGAGTGACATGGAACGGTTGAACTTTTCGGCTGGCAACCAAGCAATTTGAGTGACCGAGTCGAGCACAAATCTCTACCGAATTTATTTGTTTCTAATTCAAGATCGCTGATCAGCAAGATTGACGAACTGTCTGCTACAGTAAAATCCTATACATCAGACATTGTCGTTGTTACCGAAACGTGGCTTTCTTCAAATGTTCCTAATTCAGCAATAGATTTATGCGGTTATTCCTTACTGAGGCATGATCGTTCCGACGGCAGACGAGGAGGTGGAGTCTGTGTCTTTGTAAAAGACATGCTTCCGTTCATTCATCTTAAAGAGATTGAAAGTCACGAATATGAGTCGCTTTGGTTACTCTTAAAACCTCACCGCTTGCCTCGTGGTTTAAATTCAATTGTATTGGGAATCGTGTACCATCCACCTGGAAGTGACGATAAAGCCCTTCTTTCACACCTTACCAAATCAATTGATTCTGTCCTTTCCACCAATCCCGGTGCAGGAATTATTTTGGCCGGAGATTTTAACCAATTTAAACATCGCCAGTTATGCAGTTCCTTTAACCTCAAGCAGTTAGTCAAAGACGCTACTAGAGGAAAGAATATTTTAGATAACATATTTACCAACATTTCTAAATTTTATAATTCTGCCCTGGTAATTTCTCCAATTGGACATTCCGATCATAATTCCATCGTTCTTAAACCTCTTCAAGCTAACTCTTATGGTGGCACAAGGTCTACACGTTTAGTACGAGACTCTCGCCCAACCAATCGTCGAATTGTTAGCGATCATCTGTCGAAAGTTAATTGGTTACCTTTGCACCATATGGAATCTTGTGACGAGCAGTTCCAGTATTTTTCCACCATCGTTGATAATATCATAAACGAACATTTGCCTTGGAAACAAATCAAAATTGATTCTAGTGACAAGCCCTGGATTACTTCCGAAATAAAATCTCTCATTTCCAAGCGGCAGACAGCATGGGCGGCTGGCAATAACCTGATGTTCAGATTCTATCGAAACAAAGTCAATGCACTTTGCAAGAAGGCACGACTAAATTACTACAATAAAAGTATCGCGGGCGTTCAACAGTCCGATTCTCGTAAATGGTGGTCAGCGGTGAAGAATATTGCCGGTCTTCAGTCTTCTAAGAATGTATCTACAATGATGTTCCAAGGTAAATCCTACTCTGATGCCGATTTAGCAAATTTGCTCAACGACAAGTTCGTTGCTGTAGGGTCCTCCTTACCCAATCTAAACTGGCTCCCCCTTCCCACAAATGACATTCCAGATGATTTCTGCATCTCTGTCGAGGAGACTGAAAAGGCCCTATTATCATCGAAACTTCATTCATCTGCTGGTCCCGATGAAATTCCTTCTTGGCTCCTCTGGGAAAACGCTTCAGTGTTGTGTCGACCTTTGTGTTCTATTTTTAATTCATCAGTTCGTGAAGGATTTGTTCCCTCAATATGGAAGGCAGCAAATATTACACCAGCTCATAAATCTTCGCCTCCTAAAGATGTTGATTCTGACTTCAGACCAATTTCCCTCACACCAATTATCAGCAAGATTCTTGAATCCTTTCCCTACAAATGGCTACTTGACTCCGTCTCAAAAAAAATTTATTCCTTGCAATTTGGTTCGCTGAAGGGTTCAAGCACTAGTATGGCATTAATCTACATGCTACATAAATGGTTTGAAGCAGCTGACAAACAAGGTAACACTATACGGATTTGTTTACTTGATTTTTCCAAGGCGTTTGATAGATTAGATCATAACATTCTGTTGGAAAAATTGAAAGACATGGAAATTCATCCCGTGTTACTCAACTGGATCGCAAACTTCCTAACAGACAGACAACAAAGAACCCGTGTTGGTCAGTTCTTTTCTGAGTGGAAGTTTTTAAACGCCGGCGTCCCACAAGGAACGAAGCTTGGCCCGCTATTATTTTTGATCATGATAAATGACTTGGTTGTAGCGGATGAAACTGTTAAATTTGTCGATGATACTAGCCTTTGGGAAATAATATCAAACAATTCCCCTTCCCAGTTACCCGCTAACATCATCAGCTGCTCTGAATGGTCATCAAACAATAATATGAAGTTAAACGTATCAAAAACCAAAGAATTGCGTGTCTGCTTTTCTAAGCTTACTCCATCGTTTGCCCCTATTACCATTCGCGGTCAATTGGTCGACGTCGTTTCCGAGGCCAAACTATTGGGCGTTGTCCTTTCGGACGACCTCAAATGGAACTGCCATATTGACTACATTTGCAAGAAAGCCGCGAAGCGTTTGTACGGTCTGCGCCTTCTTAAAAGAAATGCTTTACCTTCTCATATTCTGATCTCAACCTATTGTACACATATTCGACCAATTGTCGAATATGCTTGTCAGGTGTGGCATTATGGCCTTCCTCATTACCTGAGTGATCAAGTTGAAAAAATACAAAAAAGGGCATTAAAGATTATTTTCCCTGGAACTATCTATGCTGAATGTTTGCTTAAAGCTAACTTGATGACTCTTTACGAACGTAGAACTGTTCTTTGCAAGCGACTTTTTTCGAAGATGTTGGAACCCACTCATAAACTGAATGCCTTAGTACCGCCTAAAAGTCTTCAAACTTATAATCTGAGGTCTTATCCCAACTTATTAGTACCTAGGTGTAGAACTGAACGTTTTTCGAACAGTTTCATTCCTGCTGCGTCTTGTGCTTATAATAATAAGTAAACTTTAGATTATTATCGCTATTTTTATCTAACTTACCTATTTTTACCTGTAAATATAGAATAGATTGAATACCTATGTTCTTATACCCTGTAATTCCAAAGTAATTCAGTTGTTACTGCTAGTTTGGAAATTTTTAATAATAATAATATCACAGTTCTGAAGGTGTTCGAAAATAATGCTGACATCAGCACTTTTATTTTTCAAATGCTGTAACTCAGGAGGAATTAATTGTATTGATTAAAACTTTTTGGTGAACACTTGTAATAATAATATAAACAACATATAAAATTTCCAGTATAGAGTTATTGTTTGTTACTTGGGAAAGATCCATCACTTTTGTAATAAAGTATGTTGTCAGACGTCCATGTTTATAAACAGTCGCATGGCTACCCTTGGAAAATATTGTGATGTTTACATATATTCCGGGAAAATGTTGTGATATTCCCCCATATTCGGGCATATTCCATGATATTCCGGCATATTCCGTGATATTCTGTGATATTCTGGCATTCCGGGTTTTCACAACACCCCTTTGAATATTGCACATCCACCATACCAAACTTTGGATTGCCCCTCGCCACTCATTTTTTCCACCTTATAAATGCAACGTCTGATCTTTTATGAACCTGTCTAACCATACTTAATTGACAACCTAGGAACTCTTCAAATATCTGGCTGCTTAATCGTATTATAATAACCCTTTGAGCCACTGTTGGTTGATCACAAGCAAAGATTGCACTGACATATAACTTGAAAAATAATGACCAATGTAAAAACCATGCAACCCTGCAACAGCTTCACTGATGTCCCAAATTGAACGTAATTTCATCAGTGTTTTGAGAAAGATGATCCCCAATCAGTTATATACATGCATGATTCCAGATAATTGAAATCAGAGCATGCAGGCGGTGATCATTTTCTGTTGTCACCAGTAATCAACTACCAAGCTCTGTTCCTTCATTAATTTAATACACATAATGGTCAATTCTGTTTGAAAGTAACCAGATGTTTGTTCAAGTTCTTAACACGTTGAGGAGAGGGCAATGCATGGCTGTCATATACAAGATGCTCGCAGGTGATGGCATGCAATTTTGAATATTTGCTTCCTGAATTGGGATGCGAAATTCTCATTGGTTAGATGCTACAATTTATATGTTTCTGCTGAGCTCTATTATATGTCTTTGCAAGTTAAAACTGGTATGACAATATCAGAATTAAGTTGAGACATACTTCCATAATCAACAATCAAATTATTTCAACAATCAAAGTTGAAATACAAAATATGCCATGAATTACGCCTGTATTCTGAAAGCTCACTCATACTCAAAAAGAGTGGAGATTTAATCTGTCTTTAGTGTCAGTGCTGTTTTTGAATAGCTGGAGGGTGAATAGTTAGAGTTGGTTACGACACTAACCCTCCAGCTATTCAAAAACAGCATTGACACTCAAGAGATCACCAGATTCAACTTCTACTCTTTGAGTGTGAGTGAGCTTTTAGAATACAGGCATTAATGACAATGCAAGCATGCTGTAAACAGTTCCAAGTCCTCTGGCTGTTACCAGAATTTTTTCTTGGTATTTGCATGCTTTGCGCTTGTGGCATCTTCCCCCTGAAAATCCTAATGCACATATCAACGGCCTGCCCGGGGGGTACACCCCCCGGGACAACCGGGGGGAAACGAGGGGGAATTTGGTATTTTATCTGTGTATTCTGCCCGTGAACCCCGGGGAAATTACAAACTTTGCAATAATAGGACGACAGGGGGAGGGGAAGTAGGGGACTTTGACGTGACAATTTGAATTTTATAAATGAAGTGCACAATTGGTGCGAACTCAAAATCGCAGGCTCATAGAGAAAAATATCGATCGCCAACTTATTATTTATGATATTTTGTAGTGGTCTTGCTAAAATTTGAATAAATAAATACAGAATACATGAGTGCCATTAGGGCTATTTATACAGCTTAAATAAAGCTGCAGCTTAAATAAGTCGCGAACGACTCATATAAACAGTCAATTTGCAATAAGCCGCAGCTAAAATAATGTTTGTATGCTATTTATATTATGAACTACTTTATTCTAAGCCCCAGGGGGAGGGCAGTTTGACTTACACATTTCCCGGGGGAGGGAGGGGGAATTAATGCATTAGAATCATGTTTTTTCAAAGTCCGGGTGTGTACCCCCAGGGCAGGCCGTTGATATGTGCATAAGTGTAAGGGAGGCCTAGTTGCCCTAGTTGACTTTGCTCTATCAGTTATTTTATTCCATTTGCATTGATCTTTTAACCATTTATATTTATTTCTCAACTTTGAACAGATGTATTGATTAGATTACTGTTTAGATTGCTTTCTTTCACTTGACTGTTGTTAGAATCTCTATGTAAATGAATATCAAACCCCTTAATTTGTTGAAAAATGTTCTCATTTGGAGATTTTGTATGGTTAAATGACTCTAAATTGACACAAATCATCAATTTTGTCTGCCAAAACATATGCAAATTGTTTTAGCTCCTGTTCAACTAATTTATCTGTTACTACCATTTTCGAGCTTCCGTGAAGCGTGCATTTATAACTAGGTTTTAAAACGTTTCTTCCGGTAGAGTTTGTCAATCAAAACTATTTGTTTGGCGGTAATAACGTTTGTAGGCGTGGCGTCAAACAAATTGTTTTGAACACAAAACTTTTACTTTATACTGTATTACAGTAAAATTTTATTACAGTAATACTGCTTTTACGCGACTTTTGGTATAAATTTCTGCTTTCACACGACTTTTGGATTTTATATTTGGTAACGACAAAATGGCAACAGTAAAAGTAAAGATATTTTACGGCCCAAATTACGACAGATGCAAGGTTGTAAATTTTATACGAGAGACCTTTACCGCAATGATGTTCAAAAAGTTTTCAAGTGAAGTGCGACAAACCATGGGGTACGAAAATTCGTCGAGAATTCAATACAGAGATGATGAGCAAACATTTGTTACAATGAATAGCGACGAAGATTTTGAAGATGCCGTTCGATGTATTTGTCCTGTTATGAACTCAGAAAATATATACAGATTGTGCATCAGAGTAGATGATTCCATGACACCAAAAACTACAGCGACTAAACAATCTGTTGCTACGACTTTAGATAGTCATAGTACGGTGAGTACCTCGAGTTCTAGTTGTTCATCCAGTATGTCTGCGTCACGAAAACGAAAGTTGGAGTTTCCATTTTCCTCCAAAAGTGAATCTAAGCCTGCCAAATCACATTCTCAAGCTGAAACACCACTGCAGAGATATATTTCGAATACTAAGCGAAATATAGAAGAAAAGATGCAAGCTAAAGCTAGTCGACGAGGAGGCAGACATAATGGCAAGAATAGACATATCAAAACAGCAAAAAGGTAAAGGATTAGTCTGCCATAGCTGCCACATGAGATTGGGTCATACTGCCCGAAACTGTACATATGACCAATGTACTTCAATATATAGCAGCAGAGAAGAAAAGTTGCATCCTGCCGAAAATTCTAGACAAAAGCAAATGAGACAGTCAATAAGTAAACTGGAAAATGAAATCAGACAACTTAATAAAGAATTAGAAAACAGACAAGCCGCAGTGGATAAGGTAAACAGCTCGAAAACAAATAGAATTGAAATTGAACTTTTAGAAGCAGACGACGACTATACTTATACGCAGAACGGTGTGCGAAATTGGAGGCTGTTAAGAAAACATGTGTATGCAATAGGTTATTGTAAAAAAAATATGAACGGGAAAATACCTCCAAAGCATGAACTAAAGCATGTTCTTGACCTTGCTTTGAACGACGAAAACCCTGAATTAGATTGTAAAATATCCCAACACCGAACGCATAGACAAAATCCATGCAAAAATGTTCTTGAGAACAATGGCATAGTTTTTCCTGAGTCGAGCGACAATTGCAAAGCTTATGATAGTAATGCTAGTAATTCCACTGTACGCTACATGCCTTTGATGAGAGAAGAAGAAGAGGAACAATTGAAAATAGCACTCTCAGTGAGCGCCCGTTCTTGTTCATCTGGTATTCACGCCGAGAGTTACTTTGACCCACAAGGGAAGCAAAATTCCTTTTTAATTTCTCCGCCAACTGCACCCTATTTCTGCTATCCACTGCCGTCGATACCAGCAAACCATATAAACAACTTTGAAGCACCAAATCCCTACTTCTATAACTACCCTCCTCAACACTGGCAAATGCAGCCAGCGATTGCTATCGAAACGTCTACTAGTACCATTACTTCAAACGAGGGGGATACCAGTGCTGATAATCAAGAAGAAACTGACGCAGCTAGTGTGTTGATGGCACTTTCAGGTAACAATGTGCCATTCACCGATTGACAGTGTTTGCTTTTACAGTGACAGTATAGTTGTTGTGTTACATTTGTTCGTGTTTATCAAAATAGTTTACATAAAAAAATGCTCGCCTATTAAAATACACTTTAGCATGCAGTGATCAAAAATGAAGAGACAGTTAATTGAGTTCAAATTTAAATTGTACTGTGGTTCAACATGCTGCGATTAATCGTGTACGCTTCGTTTTCAGGTCATTGAGTTTAAAACACGTGTAAGCTGGCTACATTTTTAACGAAACGGCAATGATGAATCACTCATTTTAATATGCCAGAATACGAATCGTACACGATTAATCGTCATCGTAGCGTGTAAATGTAGTTTTACATAATATTTTAAACGCTAAATAGATAAGATGTATGATTGTAAAATCCTCGCATGTCATCCCTTGTAATAGTTTCAACTGCATATGAGCCAGCCAACTTGACATTATTGTGAACTAAATCATTATACTCATGGTTTAACGACGTCTTTACTTTGTTAAAGCACATTTCTATTGGGTTAAGGTCCGGGGAGTATACAAGCGTATAAAGAAGTTCAATTCCGGCATCTGCTAGAAAATCTTCTAGAATCTCTCCGCCATCATAGTGATGCACAATTAGGTTGTCCATCACAATTATGTCTCCAATTTCCAAAACAGGGCGTAGTGTAGTCAGGTCTGTGGCATCTGCAGCCTCATCAAAAAAGTTAAAAAATTCCGCAGTATTTGTCGCCCCATCAATAAGGTTGAAGTATTCAACTCCATTAAGGAATACTAACATATTTAAAGTTGTGTTTGGGTTCTCTTTTTTTCGTACAACTTCCACGCATCTTTCGCCGATTGGAGAATTTCCATATAAGCGTGTTCCGACATTTGGGATTTTTATCCCTGCTTCATCAAAGAATTTAATTTTTTGAACATCTTTGGAGCTGAGATAGTCAATAAACAGCTGTGTATACAACATGTTTTCGAACGTGAATCTCTCTGCTGCGATTTGCGTTATTTTTTTCCTTGTGTATTTTTTACCTGAAGGCAATTTGGATTTTATGGCTTTTGAAATTGCCGAAATAGAAATATCACCTCCTACGTCTCCGACTTGTTCCAATAATTGATAAATCTCCTTTAGACTAGTAGATCCCTTTTCTACTTTGAGTGTTTCTATAAGTTCAAGATCGTCGTCACTTAGCTTGGAACTATAGTCCCCCCCTCATTTTAGGCTTTCGAAATTGTATGACTCGCAAAATTGTGTCCAATTTTTTTTTACTGTATTCGCCGATACCTTTAAATCTTGAGCAACGTGCGAATAACTCGATGGGAAAATTCCGGTGGCTCTATCGCCTCCCATGCTAACGATATGACTAATAATGAGTGATCTATAATCATCAGAAAGAGAAACGTCAGGTTTATAGCACCTTCCAAACTTGTTTACAGCATCCATTTCTATTGAATTTTACAGTATAAAGTAAAAGTTTCA